CAACATCTAAAACAAGCTCAAAAGTAGATTTTCTGGAAAATTTCAGAAATTTCCATAGAATCCTATTGGGAAACTGTGAGTGATACAAGAATAGTGACTTCATCAGTGATATCGATATCAAAAAACAAGTCCACAGAGTGTTTTTTTTTAAATATTCTATTGTGTTTTATTTTAAAATTTCACTTCATCACAGAACTTTAGATTCAAAATCAAGTTTCAAGAAAGATACAGAATATTCTATGGTGAGTAGATGACAACAAACCGACGGCATTCGAAAAGGAACAAGTTAATCAAATCTTGTCAGACTTTATGAAAATTTTGGAGGACAAGAGACAAAGAGAAAGATTGAAAACAAAAGGAAAAGTTCAAGGAAAAACTGGAAGAAGTTCGAGGATGGAAAAAAACAAGGAGAACAAGACCGGCTTGCATTGCTTGCAGCACTTTTACAACAACAAGAAGTCCAAAGACAGAAAAAGAAACAGAAAGAATAAAGAAGAAAACCGGAAACAGAAAGAACAGGACCCACTTGCAGCATTTTTACAACAAGAAGATTGAAGATAGATAAAAAATAAGAAGAACAGGACTGGCTTCAGGAAAACTTGCCTAAACAATATGTATAATTTTTTTCAACGGACACGGCACTTGATAAATAAATTGTGTGTTTTCTTGGTTTTTGTTTAAAATTATAGTTTACAAAGTTTTTATTCATAAACATTCACAATACATATTATAGGTAATAATAATATCATCTGTTAGACTGTTGGAAACACATCATAACCCAAAATTGACTAAAATGGCAAAAATTGTCCAATTTGATTGACTACCTACCGAACGGTGGAGTTGAAAGTCTACCAAGGAGGAACGATGTGGTTCGGAAAGGAAACGACGAACGGTGGAGTTTATATAAATCAGGCTTTAGTATTAATTTCAAATACTAAAGTTTATTCACAAAACTGGCATCGTGAATGTTCGGGTGCGTTCGTTACATGCGCTAATAATCCCACGATATTTCCCCCATATTTCTAATAATACCTCGATATTTCCTAATAATACCCTAATATTTCCTGATAATACCCCGATATTTCCTAATAATACCTTATATTTCCCCATATTGCAATGTATTTCCTTATATTTTCCCGTAATACCTAATATTTTCCTGCATTTACCCGTATTGCCACATATTCCCCCAGGTTGGTGACAATAATTCCTAGGTGGTTAACCCTCTGCCCTGTAAGATCGAAAAAAGCTGAAAACTGCTATGGATAGATATTTTTACGTAGAATCCAGTGTTGTAGTCAATTTTTTTTTTAGGCAAACCGTTTTCGGGATTTAGCCCAAATTAAGTATTTTTCAAAGGGACACCCCTGTATTATTTGGTCCCAAAAAAATCGCCTTTCTCTTCAAAATGATGCGTCATACTATGCATTTTGACGTAAACTAACCCCTGAAAACGTACGTTGGACGTGAAATTATCGGTATTCACTGCCCACAAGCAAAATTCAACAAAATAAAAAATTGGTAAGTTGGCAAAAAAATTAAAATCAAGAAATCTACACTTTGTTGGTTCTTTTCCAATGAATAAGTTCGTCTACCAACTGACAGAGTATTACGAGCTCGGTTACGAGTTAGAGGTGCGCAAACGAGAAGAATACATACCAAACCAACAAATCAAAACACAAAAGGCAAAAGATGTGATCACTCTGCAAAATCTAAGGCAAAATCCTTAGGAACAAATCAGGGAAAAGATTGAGAATCTCCGAGAAAAAAGACCATTATCAGACACTGATGAATCAAGTGAGTCCAGTATCTCAGAAATGGAGGTGCAGAGTAAGTTTGAGACTGAAACTGAACCTGATAATAATTATTCTGATGACTATAATAGTCCATCCTGGAGTCCATCATTGAATATTGAATTAAAGAGTGTTGAGATGAGATTTGGCAGATAGGACGAATAGTTGAAAAAGTGGAAGAAGAAAACTTTTAAATAAAATTTCTAATTTTGAGATTTAGATAACTTTATTTGCCCAAAACCTGAGGATGCTCTATGGGCCTATATCCATGAAATGATATGGCCATTTCTCCATCCAAAGGCATGATTACATAAGCATACAAAAAACGTATAAAAAACTTAAGCAGGTTTATAACAAATAAACTTGAAGTTACTTGAACGATTTTCAAAAATGTAAGTATCTGTTTGATTATGCAATATTGACGGTAATACAATAGGTACTTCAAATATATTATGTAATGTGTTTAAGTAAAATTCGTCCTTTATTTTCATATATTAAATTTCCTAATTAGGTACCTGAAGATTTGAAAACATAATAGATATTACCTGGGGTCGAACCTAGGATAACAAAAAGATAGTGGGATTCAGGAACACCTCTTCATAAGAGTGTAATAGAGGAAACTATTCCTATTTTCATTCGAAGAACACTCAACGGCAGTTTAATGTCTTTCGAATTTGATTTTGACCCTAATTTTCCATTACTTAAAGCCTACAGTGTGGTGCATATTATGTTTAGATTACTAAACTAATATGTTGAACTTTACAAGAAATAACTAGGACATGGAAATAGTACAGGGTGTTTCACGAACATCGAAACAGACACGTTTTGGGGTATTTTAAGGTCGATTAAAAAAAAACGCTCGGACACGTCAATTTTGTATTCAAAAGGGGAAAACTTTTTGACCCTAGCTAAGATGCACCCCCTGGGTGGAGTGACTTTCACCCCTCTTTTTTAGATAGAGAAGATGGGTCGAGTGGTACCTTGTTTTAAAGGTATTTCGATTCTCGTCACAACTGTGTACTTTTTTTGAAAATCGAATGATTAGTTCTCAAGACATTCAGTGTCAAAGTTGCCATGGGCTAAATAGGAAATAATCTTCTGGTACTGTTATTCTCAAATCAACACTTTCCTGAGTTTCCTCTCGGACTCGTCAATTTTAATTTTTTGTGTGCTTCCGCAAAAAACTGAAATTGACGAGTCCGAAAGGAAAGTAAGGAAAGTGGTAATTTGAGAATAACAGGACCAGAGGATTGCTTCTTATGTAGCCTATGGCAAATTTGACGGTAAATATCTTGAGAAATAATCATTCGATTTTCGAAAAAAGTACACAGTTGTGGCGAGAAGAAAAATACCTTTAAGGTACCACTCGACCAATCTTCCCTATCTAAAAAAGAGGGGTGAAAGTCACCCCACCCAGGGGGTGCACCCTAGTGAAATACCGATGACGGGTCAAAAAGTTTCCCCCTTGAATACAAAATTGACGTGTCCGAGCGTTTTTATTAAATCGACCTTAAAATACCCCAAAACGCCTTTGTTTCGATGTTCGTGAAACACCCTGTATTTCACATACCGAGGTGGGAAGTGTTTCATTACTGTCGAGAGATCAGTTAGTTAACGTAAAATTCAAAAAAGTGTCACTTTCAAACTTTTGAAAAGTCAGAAATGTCAACATTCCGTATGTGGTTGTATATAATAGTATATTATTCAACGAGCGGTAATGATGGCTATTACTCACGAAAGATGAAGTTTGCAATACGAGCCGCAGGTGAGTAGTGTAATCATCCGAGTGAGTAATAGCCATTACCCACGAGTAGAATACTATACTTTTTCTATGATTAATAGATAATAGGCACGAGTTATTCGGTTTTGTATTTAATTTTCCTAACAAAATTAATTGACAATTCTGACAGCTGGATGACAAAGTGAGGTTAGGTTAGCAAAAGTAATGTCCAAATCTGCTATCAAAATGACTTGTCGAATTTTCTGATTGGCTCTTAAATAGTGGAGTAATGAGACCAGGATATTTTCATTGGTTTAAAATAATTGAGTAATGAAAAAAAAAAAACTCACTGTATGAGTAATCATTCCCATTGATCAACAAAAAATGGATGTATATTACGCATATTATTCAATACTCATAGAAAATAGTTATTTATGCAACAACTGTGTAAAGTGAACCTTTTTTCACGAATGTGAATTTTGAAATTCGAAAAATTGCAATTGATAGTGTGCAAATTATACCATAACACCAATTCCCTGAACCCTTTCCTGGTATTCTTCCCCAAACCGGTGTATATTGGTACTGTCTATAACTTCCCGTACCATTTGTACCCGAGACTAGGGTAAAATGTCCATATTGTCACGAAACCCCCCTTTTTCGATTATTCGCAATTGTTACTTTTAACACCTTAAACCACCTTACCCCCAAAGTAATTTGCAAGTCAAGTGAGGTTCCCTAAACGGTGTATATTGGCCTATAACTTCCAGTACCATTTGTACCCGAGACTAGGGTGGAAATGTCCATATTTTCACCAAAACCCTTTTTTCGATGAACGGCAATTATTAGTTTTACCCCCCTTAAACCACCCCAAAGTTATTTGCAAGTCTTCTTAGGTACCCTAAATGGTGTATATTGCTACTACTGCCTATAACTTCCAGTACCATTTGTGTCTGGTGGACCGCATTTTGCCAAGACGTGTTTATTAATCGCAATAATTTATTAATTTTACCCCCCAATTTAAAATTATTATTATTATAATAGTCTTGTGAGGAAAAGTATCACATGCCATGATGCCACTGATCAATCGGCAATGTTCGGCAGTTTGGTTGCTAACTTTTAGCTGCCAAGTTCACATCAGTGGATATTATACATATTTTGATTGATAAATGAAATAATGCACAAAACGTCTAGAAAATGCACTTCAACCAAGACATTAACACGTGTTTTCAACATTTTTTTTCCATATCTCTAGACAAAAATCCAGAAGAAATCACCTTTAGGACAAATATGGACCATGTTGTGGTTTTCAACCAAAAAAACGGCCACGAAAATTCTTCCGTTTTTAGGTCAACGAACATTAAACCTGACTTTCTTTCTGCTACCCTTTCCCTGATTTTCTATTTCTTTTAGGTTCCGATTAGGTAACCAAGCCAGGAATTAATTCCTGAACTATTTTTAAAAAAACCCAAAAACTAAAGAAAAATTCTTACCTATTGTTTCAGTGTATGTCTTATACTTTTCACAAATTCCGCCGGAAGCCCCTGACGCACTGGCCACCCAAGCTAATCCCAAAGTCCCACCGGTAAAGTCCCTGTAAGTGAACACATAAGCAAGGCAAAAGTCTTCGTGATTCCCCAGGGAGTGGATATTGAGAAAATTGCTAACATCAATATTTTCTAGACAGAATTGATTCATGTCTCCGCAATTGTGATGCGTGCATTTACACGATGTATCATCATCAATCTAAAATTGAAAAAAATTACTCTGATGAATTTTAATAATTTTTGTTTGCTTGCCTTGATGCGTTGTACTTCAAATTTGATATTCCTATGTTCGTTTCTTCCATCGAATTTTGTGTCTCTGTAAATATAGTTAACGGCAGTGACATGGTGAGCAATCAAAGATAAAATTTCTTCTCTTGTTTTTTCATTTACTTCAGATACTTTTCTTGGATCGGCGTGCTAAATGAAAAATCAAATATTGAATTTGTTAATTTCAAAAATAAATATTTTACCTCTGGAAATGTCTCTCTAATATGCTTCCAAATTAAGGGATCAGTCTGTATATACAGCGAACAAGAATTGTTATTCTCGTACCTCCTAGCAGCTCTTTTACGTCTCGTATGTCCTTCGTTGGCTTCTTTTGAGTATTTTTTGTATCCATCATGTTCGATTTTTATATTGTTCGCTTCTTTATCTGGCAGTATATTATTAAAACTATTTTTAGAATTAATTTTTGGTGTTTTTTGATCTGGATATTGAACATTAGATGGTGATGGGAACGGATCTGGTACAGCTGAGTTTTGAACAGAATCCATCCATGCTACGACATCGTCATTTATGCCACAACCAGCAGAATGACCTATAGATAAATTAGTATTTAGAGTGAATAATGTATTAATTTTGATTTTACCTTGTCTAATCCCTTCATAAGGATCATGTACATGGTCTTCATGGTAAATAACTGAATGAAACGTCCTATTAGGATGAGTTTTGTGTGGAAAATAATGATGCGCTTTTTCAACGAAATATGCGCCTTTTGGCGATATGATTTTTCCTTCAAAAACTCCATCTATAATTGAACCGAAAACTTTACTTTTTGGCTCGCCTAAAACAAATAAAAGCACTTTATGTATAATAATTATAGCTGGAAATGTAATACGAATGCAAAATATGTAGAGTACATTTAGCGCAACAAATTCTATAGGGAAATGAAATCCCAGAAACGCTAAGAAATGTGTCCACTTCTGAATACATAATAGATACATATAACCAGGTATATTATTACGCGAGTTTAGCATTTAGAGCACGTGAATTTACACCGAATACGTTTTCGGGGAGAGGGTGTAAATGCGGAGAAAATAATTTTAGTAGAATTTAGTTTGCGGGTAGCGTTTAGTTCCGGCTTAAAATGAAACTAGATGGGGAGGAAAAATAGACATAAATTATTTTTATAAGTTAGTGATATGGGTTGTTTTAGTTGGATCTAGAAGTTTGACCCTGCTTTTTTCACAGAGTTAGTTCTCATATTGAACCAAAATAGAGATAAAGTTTGCAAATATATATTATGCATCCTTACCAATAAGATGTCCATTATAAATATGTGACGTATCGGCATGTATGGGCCGTCCCTTATCGTCAACGATTTCCATTCGGTCACCGAAAACCTCCAGATCGCGTTTCAGCCGCAATCGAAAATGGCGGTTGTGGGCCTTAAAGGACACGTGGACATGGTTGTCCTGATGGGCGCTGAGCGACTTTTTGCTTCGCAAATGAGCATGGTGCACGGTTTTGGTGTCGTAGCTGAGCGGTTCGTAGTGGCTGATGTATTCGTTGAGGTGATTAGCTGAAACCAATAAAATATTTTTATCTAAGCAACCTGCATTTCCATGGACAAAATAGTTCAGAAAAAATTGTTCAATGTTATCATATACATTCTTCATTTTAGAAGCCAATTTTGGGTGTATAGTATGAAATATGTACTGCAGTATGTATAACAATTATCACAGAATACACAATTATTATTACTTTCCAAGACAAGGCCACAATCTGACAATCATAAAATACCAAGTGAAATAATAAAGGTAACATTAAGAATATATAACAATTCCTCCCTCTTAAGAAGGAATAAATCTTTGAATAGGGTTTTTTATTCTGGAACTTCGTCTCACTTCTGCCGATTCTGCGATAGTTCCCGATGACTACAAACAATCTGATTTTGACATGGGATTTTTGTACTGATTTGACGTATTTTTTGAATTCAGCTCATATGGTTCCTCAGAAATAATCTCAGGAGGAGATATTAATACTGGATCTGGAGGTTCTTGTTGATTCTGAACGGAAGGTGAAACATTCAAATTTGGTTCAATACTTGAGAAAGACTCAAAGGTATTATTTCTTTCTTCAGGAAACTTGAATCGGTCTCTTCATAGTTTCCTTCAGAATTCACTTCTGTCTCAGCTATTTGATCTATGTGTCTGTAAATAGTTTTACCCTCTAAATTTATCAGATAATGTAAGAATTCAATTTGTTGAATGACTATTCCAAAATTCCATTTACACGATTTTTTTTAATCATAACTAGGTACTCGAACTAATTGACCAGGTGTATACGATGGAATATTCTTCTTTACTTGTTGAATTTCTGTTTCGTTTATCTCTTGACATTAAAAGAATGCTAGGAGAAGCATGTGGTGCTTTCCTATATTGTATCAAAAAATTTAGAAGCTTCATGTCCAAATCACCACCATCATTTGCCATCTTTTTTAAACCAGTTTTCATTGTTTGAACATATCGTTCTGCTTGTCCATTTGTAGCTGGATGGTAGGGAGCGGAAAAAGTATGTTTTATTCCATTGCTAGCTAGAAAAATTTCAAATTCTAGGGAACGAAAAGTTCAACCATTATCACCTTGATTATCACTTACTAGAGTAATTGGTATTCCGAATCAAGCAAAAATACTTCGTAATATTGCAATAATTGTTTTGGTTGATGTAATAGAATTCATAGGAACTATTTCCGGATATTTTGAAAATGCATCGACCAGTATTAAAAAGTATTTTCCCATAAATGGACCAGCGAAATCTACATGTAAACGTTGCCAAGGGCCTTTGAGAATTTCCCAATGATGAATTGGAACCTTGGCAGGCTGATTAAGAAAGGACTGACAGTTTCTACATTTTCTTGCTAAATGCTCAATATCCTCATCGATGAGAGGCCACCAAACATATGAACGTGCCAAAAGCTTTCATTTTAACTACACCAGTATGGGCTTCATGTAATTCTTGTAAAATTTTATTTCGTAAACTAGTAGGAACTACTATTCTTAAACCTTTTAAAATAACCCCTTCACTTGGAGATAATTCTGTATTTTTTCCAATAAATCCCGGTTCCAACATTTTTGACCCCACCGCAAACAGTCCTATACATTTTTCAAAACAGGATCTTCTTTTGTTTTCTTTACTATCTCTGTATGAGTGACTGGTAGTACGAGAATTTGTTATAATTGATAACATGCAACTGCATCAGTAAAATATATTGGAATCTGAAATAATGGGTTGAGGTAATCTGGATAATGCATCGGCATTGGCATGCTTTTCTGTTGAACGATAAATAATTGCATAATCAAAACCTTGTAAGAAATGAGCATAACAATTACACCGAATACGGTGACGTAAGAAATGAGCATAATGTAGCATTCTGGTAGCCACCATACTAGGTAAATTTTTAGAAGGGTGAAAAATGGATACCAAGGGTTGATGATCAGTGATTAATTTGAACTTTCGACCATAACAGTATAGGAAAATTTTATTGCAACCCCAGAAAATTCCTGTAGCTTTTTTGTCAATTTGACTGTAATGCTCGAGTTAAAACTCGACGTGCAAAAGCGATCGGCTTTTAACTACCATCAGGAAACGTATATGTGATAAAACAGCTCCTAAACCATATGGACCAGCATCTGTAGCTAACAGTAAAGGCAGATCAGATCGTAAGTTCAAAGGATTTGGTCGGAGGTAACTTCTATTTTAATTAAGTTGAATGCATCCTCACATTTTGGTGACCAATAGAATTTAACATTTTTCTGTTACAGGCAGTAAAGAGGGTGTAATTTAGAAGCCAGATTTTTAAGAAATATTCCGTAGTAATTAACCATCCCCAACCAGCTTTTCAGTTCTGAAAAATTTTTGGGCGTTGGTGCAATTCGTAAGGTCTATAAACCTAGCAGTCCCAAGGTGGAAAAAACCTTCGGGAACTATATATTAATTAGGTGCTTTTTAGGTGCTAATTAAGGCCTCTTATGAAAAATTAGGTGCTCCTCTAGTTTTTGAGAAAATCAAAAAAAACTAAGGGATTGCTAGGTTTATGAAAGCTAGTAGTCCCCTATAGTAAAAAATATTTTTCCAAAATTTTCTTTTGTATCAGAAATAGGTGCTTTTTAGGTGCTCCCAAATAGTCGAAGAAAAAATAGAATTGATTAATTATTAACTGAGTTACAGATTTTCTTTTAATTATTAGGGGACTGCTGGCTTTGCGTTTACATGTTGGTGTGTCAGAATGGAAAAAAACTTCGGGATCTATATAATAATTAGGTGCCTTTTAGGTGCTAATTAGGGCCTCTAATTAAAAATTAGGTGCTCCTCTATTTTTTAAGAAAATCAAAAAAAAACTAAGGGATTGCTAGGTTTATGAAAGCTAGTAGTCCCCTATAGAAAAAAATATTTTTCCAAAATTTTCTTTTGTATCAGAAATAGGTGCTTTTTAGGTGCTCCCAAATAGTCGAAGAAAAAATAGAATTGATTAATTATTAACTGAGTTACAGATTTTCTTTTAATTATTAGGGGACTGCTGGCTTTGCGTTTACATGTTGGTGTGTCAGAATGGAAAAAAACTTCGGGATCTATATAATAATTAGGTGCCTTTTAGGTGCTAATTAGGGCCTCTAATTAAAAATTAGGTGCTCCTCTATTTTTTAAGAAAATCAAAAAAAAACTAAGGGATTGCTAGGTTTATGAAAGCTAGTAGTCCCCTATAGTAAAAAATATTTTTCCAAAATTTTCTTTCGTATGTATCAGAATTAGGTGCTTTTTAGGTGCTCCTAAATAGTCGAAGAAAAAATAGAATTGATTAATTATTAACTGAGTTACAGATTTTTTTGTAATTAGTAGGGGACTGCTTGCTTTAGGTTTACTTGTTGGTGTGTCAGAATGGCAAAAAAACTTCGGGATCTATATAATAATTAGGTGCTTTTTAGGTGCTAATTAGGGCCTCTAATTAAAAATTAGGTGCTCCTCTAGTTTTTGAGAAAATCAAAAAAAAGCTAAGGGATTGCTAGGTTTACGAAAGCTAGTGGTCCCCTATAGTAAAAAATATTTTTCCAAAATTTTCTTTTTTATCAGAATTAGGTGCTTTTTAGGTTCTTCTAAATAGTCGATGAAAAAATAGAATTGATTAATTATTAACTGAGTTATAGATTTTTTTTTAATTATTAGGGGACTGCTGGCTTTAGGTTTACTTGTTGGTGTGTCAGAATGGCAAAAAAACTTCGGGCTAATTAGCACCTAAAAAGCACCTAATTATTATATAGTTCCCGATGTTTTTTTCCACCTTGGGACTGCTAGGTTTATAGACCTCATTTCGTACTACTTTGACTTTATCTTCTGTCTTCTCTAAACCATTCATAGAAATTTTATGCCCTAGGTAAGTTATGGAGTTTTCAAAAAATTTACACTTTTCTTATTTAACGCGAAGGCCGTCATCTTGTAAGACTTGTAAAACCATACGGACTCTACTCAAGTTTTCTTGAAGATCTTTACCTTGTATCTTGATGTCATCTAGAAATACTCCAGGAATGTCAGAAAGCAGTTTTGTTATATATCGCTGCCAAATAGCGGGAGCTACTTTTGTACCAAACATCAGTCTATTCACCATATAGACTCCCTTTTCTATAGATATTGCTTGTAATTTAGAACTCTTTTCTACCATAGGCATATGGCATATGTAGGTAAGCTTCGCGAATGTCTAAAGTTGTGAAAATTTTACCTCCATACATAGTGGTTGCGAATATGTCCTCAATATTAGGAATAGGATATTTATCATCTTTCAATTCTTTGTTAAGTGTAATTTTATATACAGCACATAGTTTAGTTTGCTTTTATTTGATCTGTATAAAAAAAACATACATTTTTTACCCTTAAAGCCGGGTTCTCATTAGGCCATTTCATAGATCAGTATTATTGAATCTATAGGATTGAACATAGAATGGAATGGAAAATTTGTTCACATTTTCCAATAACATTGAAGATCCTAGTGTGTTTTAAAAATGGCTGCAAAGAGGAAAATTCTGCGTGCCGATGTTCGTATTTTCTGTGAGTATTTAAAAACGACGATAAAAAAAAAATAGAAAACTTCGTCGTTGGTGGGTAAGGTCATGTTTATGTTGGAGCTGTGATACACGATAAAAGCAACGATACTAATGTATAGTATCATTAGTATCGTTGCTTTTATCGTTTATCACAACTCCAACATAAACACGGCCTTTTAGACCGTGGATAAAACAACGTATACATGAAGGTGGTTCTGTAAAGCTGATAAAAGAATATGGGGAACAGGTGACCAGGATGCTTATAGGAACCACTTAAGAATGACCGAAGAGAAATTTGAAGAACTTCTACAGAAAGTGTCACCCTTGATACAGAAAAAAAAAACTCCAAAGGGACGCTCTTCCAGCAAGACTCAAATTACAAATAGTTTTAAGATATTTAGCTACTGGAGATTCTTTTCCGTCTTTGGGTGCACTGTACCGACTGCCCAAAAACACTCACAAAAATTTGAAATGTAACGAGCGGTTC